AATCTAAGCCATATACCTCTATATTACAAAACTTCCAGTGACCTTTTTCCTGACCCAGGATTTTTGCCTAGAATATGGAGTGTAGGTTCCACAGAGGCATTGCTGTATACAGGATGACACCATAGCCTGGTTCAACACTAATTTGATGAGGAAAATCATGACTTCTCTGCCTTAGTTTTTCCAACTGTGAAATAAGGAACCCAATTTTTGCTTCAGTCAGTCAACAAGCATTTATTAAGCCTATGCTATGTGCCAGGTATTGTGCCAAGCTCTGGGATACAAAAAAGGGCAAAATTACAGTTTGATCTCAAAGAGCTCACAGTTTAATGAGGAAGAAAAGGTTCAAACAATGGCATACATATATAAAATATATATATATATATACACATATATATAATACATACATATACACACACATGCACACAGCATAAATGGGAGGTAATCACAAAGGAAAGGCTCTAGCAGTACCTACCAAGCTGTACAGTGAAGTAAGAAGGTGGAAAATTCTAAGTTTCTCATTAAAAGATGCTATGTAAGGCAAGACCAATATATCTTGCCATCAACTCTAGGCTGGGTTCCAGATACAAATTCAGCAAAATAAGTACATAATAAATAAAAGAAAAATCAAGGGAGATCAAAGCATAGGGTTGCAAAATCAAGAAAAACCTGAGGGGTTTAGAGTAGTAGGGCCAGAGAGCAGGGTAGTAACACAAGGGTGAGAGAAATGAAAGAGGTTTGATGCTGAGCCCTGGAGGGCAGAGGGGGTGGGGGAAAGAAAGAACAAGGGAACGAGAAGGAAGTAGTAAAAACAATGGAGGGGGGGGGAAGCGGTCTCTTAGTTGGGGTGTGGGGGTGTGTGTGTGTGTGTGTGTGTGTGTGTGTGAACTGACAAATAACTTGAAAGCAGACCATCAACGTTTGGCCTAGGAGGGGTGAGGGGAATTGATGATAATGTCATGGGAGAAGAAGAATGAAGGAGAGAACAAGGGTCGTTTCCAGGAAAGGACCTTTAAATAGGAAAAGAGAAAGCAGAAGGTTCCACAGATCGAGCCTCTGGATCTCTTTCCTGGTCCCCCGAAGCTGCTTTCGCTGCTTCCCCCCACCTCCTGCTTCTTCCCTCCCGGTGTCTCTGGCCCTTCACTTCCCGGGGGGCGCTGCGCGGCCTCACCTTGGGTTAAAGTCCTGGAAGAGGCCCCTCAGGTTCATGGCGAAGAACTCCGCTGCTTACTCCTCTCCTTCCTCCCCGACACCGCTCTAGTCGCGCGTTACAACGGATTCATGGTGCTACCCGTCCCGCCGTTGCTTCGGGTCCGTGTCTTTCCTCTTTTGCCTTAGCCTCCTCCTCCTCCTCCTCCTTCTCCTCCTCCCGTGGCCCTTAGAGGCCGCCTCCTCTTCCCCCCCACCCCCCCACCCCCACCCCCACCCCCAACTCCTCCCTAACCGGCTTCCGTAAAGGGACTGAGCATGCGCTCCGAACCCTGACGAAACCTTCGGGCTCTCACCAAAGGGAGGGGGGATGAGCAGAGTCGGGTGGGGCGCTGTTGAAGCCCACTGAGCATGCGCTCACAGGCGGAGCGTCCCGAGGCGGAGGTAGTCTGTGAGTAGCGTGTAGAGGGAAAGTTCGCTGGACTTTTCTCAGCGTGGGAGGCGAGTTGAGCTGAGACAGAAGGCGATGGCCTGGGTCGGGAGTGGAGGAGCTGGGGAAGGAGAGGAAGGGAAGGGGAGGGGGGTTGCAGGGAGAAAGACTAGAGGAAGGAAAAAAGCGGTCAGTTGAGTTGGGGAGGAAGAGAGCAGCCAGATTGAGGGAAGACAGTGGGGGGAAAAAGGGCGGGAAGAAGGCTTCCAACCTCTAGACAGCATGCCTCGCTAGTCTTACCAATTTTCCCGCCCTCACACCCTCGGGGAAGACTCGGGTTTTCAAACCCTTTCCCGCCCTCCCCCCTTCTCGTTCTTCCCCAGTAAACTCCCCCCTTTTTTTAAGTCCCTCCCTCTCAGCCCCTGCCAGATTGGAAGGGCGACCCCTTGGCGGAAGGATTAGGCTTGTGGTGAGGTCTGGGAGGGCGTTCGCGTGTAGGGCTCCGTGGGAGTAAGCCCGGGCGTCTTAACCGTCGTTCTTCCGAAGGAGCCAACCCGGGACATAGCCGAATGCCCCTGGCGGAGCAGGTCTTCAGGCCATGGGCCTGGGCGATCGATGCCCTGTGGCCTTTTTGGTGGAAGGAAAGAGCAGAGCAGAGCACAGGCTGCCGTTGCAGGAGAATGTGAGTGTCTCTTTGCTCCCCACACACCCCCACCCACCCCCTCCCTCCAGCCTGATACTGAGATTTTTTAAATTTGATGCCCTGTAATCTTTTACTAGACTTTTTACCATGTTGGACAGTAAATGGAGGACGCTTTGTGCTGCTAGGTGGGGAGAGGGGCGTGGGGGGGGGTATAGCGGGACGAAATTTGGAGTAATGGTGTTTAGGTTCTATGTAAAGAAAGAAGGAAAAGCTAACAAAGTTATCTCGAGGCCGAAGAGGCTGTCTAGGAGAGGAAAATTTCTTTCTAACTGGAGGATTTCAAGCAAGGGCAGGTGTTTTTTTTAATGTAGATGCCTTCCCCCCTTCCCCCGCGAGGCAATGGAGTTAAGTGACTTGCCCAGGGTCACACAACTAGTTAAGGTAGACGCCATCTTAAATGGGTTTTAAAAGATAATAAGGGTACTCCTTGGAAGAAGGCGTAGGTGGTTTCAGCTTGATTTCAGAATGAAATCTAAGAGCCCAGAGACTTGAGCTTGATATAAAAAAAAATAAGGTAAAATTCCTAACATCAACTGTAGTCCACAAAGGGAATAAGCGGCCTTCAAAAGTGGTGGGTTCCGCCTTGCTAGAGAAAGTGTCTGCGTCATTGCCTTCGGCCATTTTGTGTAGTTTGGTGAAAAATGGCGGAATAGGGTGGAGCGAGAAGGGGGGGGAGGGTAGAGCACGAGGTGGTACTGCTGTTAAGGGAAAGTGAGTTATATAATTGCAAGATGGCTTAATACTTAAGTGTAAGGTAAATAATGGAATTGATCCTCAGAAAGGCAGGTGACTTATTCGATCTAGATATTCTCACCGCCATCTGTTAAGTATTTTTTGTTGGTGTTTTCCCTGAAGCATCTTATTTATTCTCAAAACATGAAGACCATTCTGTAGATTGAGTTTAACTGTTAATATCCTTGCCAAGAGTAGGTGAGGAAGAGAAAATTTAAATAGTTTTTCTTTATTCTTTAAATATTTGACCAGTCAGTGGTAAGAAGTTAAGAGCCCAAATGAAGATCTGAGGCTAGTTATATTGTTTCGGCATTGTAGATAGGGCACACCCTCTTTTCTCTTTAGTGTTGTGATTCCTAACCTTTTTTACTCGATTTCCCGAGAGGTCTTCAGTCCCTTAGTATCCTAAATATGATTTAAAATTCAAATTGATTTTTCAGTTCACTGCTACTTAAAAAAAATTAAATGTTATTAAGTATTTGGAGATTTAACTCTATCCGCACCGCTGCAGTTTGTATACTAGACACCCCAACTCTACTTTTTTGAACATAGAGATGTCTGTCCAGTTCTGCCCCAGTTCCTGTGACCTCCCCACACACCTCATCCCTTCCTCCCTCTATCCTATACTCCTCCTCCCCCTGATGCTGTGATGAAAGCATAGAAAGGAAACCAAACAGTAACCACAAATGGTCTGTGGTCACCTCTATAGGATTATCAAATGATCATCTCAGAGAATGAAAATCTCAGTGGTGCCATTGGTCTGTTATGTGTAATTCATTGACTTCTACCAGATTTTCTATATGTAGCTAGCTACCACCACACCAGACTCCAGACTTTGAACACTCTCCACAACTGTTGATCATCTCCTCTATGGCTTAGTTAGCGGCTATTCTGTTTTTCCTCAGCTGAGTTGCATGAATTCAGGTGGCACTATTTGCTAATGCTACTGAAAGGGGAGGAGTCTGAGTTCATTCGTTTAACTAGAATTTATTAAGTACCTGCTTTGTGTAAGACACTTTGCTATGTCTAGTATCTGTGGCTGTTTTCCTGAAAATGAGGGGCCTGGTGTCTAAAGCTCTGGTCCTTGAGGTGAGGGTCTGGTGTCTGAGCCTGTGGGTTTGGTCCAGGTCTTGAAGGTGAGCAAAGTGTGTCTAAGGCTCTCATTCTGTAGATAAGAAACCTGATGGCTGAGGTTCAATGCCTATAAGATTAGAGGCTTGGTGTTTGAGGTTCTGGTCCAGGCAGTAGGTACAAGTTTTTCTTTGGGTCCTGGAGGTGATAAATCGGATCCCTGAGCTTCTGGTTCTGGGAACAGTTATGAAGGCCTCATATAACGCCTTGTGCCTGAACCCGGAGGCAAGGTCCTCATTGATAAAAGAACAGGCACCTGAGTCTCTGTTCCTATTCCTAGACAGTTCTACAGGTGAGGGACTTAATGAATATGGCTTTGGGCCTGGAGGCAAACAGCCTGGTTTGTTCAACAAACATTTTTGAAATTCTTATTTTGTGTTAGGCACTATAGTAGGGCCTGGTGGGGTACAGAGACAAAATAGTCCTTGTTTTGGAAGAACTCATTCTACTGGGGGTAGGGGAGACATACAACGTATTAAAAATGAAAGAAAGTAGTTTAGGGGTTGTGCGAGGGGCACGCTAATAATTGGAGGTAACAAGAAAGGCACCTAAGCTCTTCTCTAAATGAAGTGATAGGCCTGCAGGTAGAGTCCTCGCAAAGGAGGGAGATGGAATGTTGTGTATAAGCAAGATCACATCAGTTAATAAACGTTAATTAAAGGCCTACTGTATGCCAGGCACTAAACTGAACTGAACAAGCTAAATATTGGGGATACAAAGAAAGATAAAATACACTTGAATTCACAGTCTAATAGGGGCAAGAAAGGGGAGGCATGACAATATGCAAATAACTATGTACACACAAGCTATATACTGGATATATTGGAAATCGTCAACAGAGAGAAGGCATTATAATTAAGGGGAATTGGGAAAGGCTTTCTGTAGGAGGTGGGATTTTATCTGGGACTTGAACGAAGCCAGGAAAGTTAGGAGGAAAACATGAGGACTGGGAGAGCATTCCAGGAAGGGGGGGGGAGTGTGGCAGTACATGGGGGGAGCAGTATAAAGTGTAAAAAGAACAGAAAGGTGGGCAGGTTATGAAGGGTTTTGAATCCCAGAGGATTTTATATTTGATCCTAGGGGTGATAGGGAGCACACTGAAGCTTAATTGAATTGAGAGGGTGCTGACATGATCAGACCTGAACTTTAGGAAGATCACTTTGAGAGCTGAGTGGAGAATGGGCTGGCTCTTTGACTGAAACATGAAATATGAGAAAGGGTCTAATGTGCAATCAGTCTGGAAATTTAGGGTTAGAGCCAGTTTAGGTTGGAGCCAGATTGTGAAAGTATTTTATAAATGTTAACTATTATTGGTATGAAAGGTCACCTACAAAGCAAATCATATTGTTGCAATGCTCCCCTCTCACACACATTCATATACCTTTCCAGTATGGCTGATGAGAAACTGAGGCAGGAGATAAGAGAGCAAATGATAAGGCTACAGGAACTAAGCTGAGTTTTGAAGAGTGGCCAACATTAAGCTTTTGTATTGGATCTCTTTTATCCCCACCAAACTGAGCTCTGACGGCTACTTTGAGTGCTAATAATCTAAGAAAGGCAGAATAAGAAGGGGATATTTCCCAAATGGGAACTAGCAGGTGAAGTGTGGTCCCGCCACCCTTTCCCCCCACCCCAAAATTTAAATCCCAATCCTAAAGGCAACACAGTGAGTGGACCCAAGTTTATTGTATTGTATAAAACTCCAAATAAACCAGCAAACATCTCTATTCTAGATAGTGATTCGTTTGACTTATTTTGGGGCAAAAGGGACTTTAAAAGGTTTTGTTTCTGGAAGGGGAGAAGTGTGGGCATCTTGTAACTTCCTTCACTTTTCCTCCACCCCCCACCCCCCTTTAAAGGATTGCTTCTATGAAGGTATTTCCACGTTATACATTGACATATACTAGCTATCTCTTGCTATGCTCCACTGTGTGTAGTTAGTAAGTAACATCTGGCACACCCTTGAGGGCTGTGACAATAGGAACTTGTCTGAACAGGTTGGGGGACAGTGTTTGCCCAGAGCCTGGGCTTCTAGAACTGAAGGTCAGTTAGTTATTCATTGAGGAGAAAAAACAAGCTCTACTTATTTTCTTTGATTAACAGCCACCACACCAAACTTTTGAGCTCATAATTTATTTTAGAGAGTTTGCTTTCTTTCTCCTTCACCGACCTATTTCCCCCTATCCCGACAACATCACACAGATGGGGTCGTGGAGTCTAGTGTCTGATGTTTCTGGTTCTGTCTCTATTGGGTATGATTATAGGGTGAGCACTCACAAGTTCTGCTGCCTCTTTGGGAAACTGCATGTTTGGGAAGAGCACAAGAAAGTGCAACATTAGGAAGAGAGTGAGAGTTTGGGGAGAACACATGAATGGGTTCTTTTTAGGGAGGAGGGCAAGTTCCAAAAGAACTTGTCGTGGCATCTAGGTACAGAGGACTTAGCTGTATGTGGTACCAACAAATTCAGGCATCATTTTGATCTTTATTTTACTTAAACAAAATGTGAATTGTGACTCAGTGTTAATATGAAAAAATAACTCCTGTAGATTGAAAAAGTGTTTCACATATGTATTACTATTTTTCTAACATATTGCTGTTGTGATTCAAGTGTACATTTCAAGTTGTACCAATTGAAGAGAATATGAGCTCAAGATGAGCATGTGTAAATATTACTGTCATGGAAGTATGTGTTCAGAGAGAATACACTTATCAAGGAAAACTGAGAATTTGGGCTAAAAATATCTTAGTGCTCTTGTTAATGGAGAATGGGAGTTTGGGAAGAGAATCATGGAAGTACTATTTTTGCAAGAAAATCTAAGTGTATAGAGAACATCAGTCAGCAAACATTTGTTAAGCATCTATGTGCCAGACATTATGCAAAGTACTGAAGGTACACACACCAAAATGAAACAGGCGCTCCCCTAATGGAACTCATTCTATTGAGAAAGATAAAGTGTGTGTGCACATGCGTGTGTATGTGTGTATAAAATATATACAGAATAAAGAAGGTAAGTGGAGGGAGAGGTGCTCAAAGCCAGAGGTAATAGGGAATCATCTCATGTAGAATAAATGAAGCTAGGGTTAGGCAAAGGTAGGGAGGGAATACTTTTCAGGC